TGGGAACATCAGCAATGTGTAGGCATGTTGCATATAGCACAGTGTCATAAAAAGAAGTCCGCTGTAACGATAAAAGATAACATGTGTTGCTGCTAATCATACAAAATGCCATCTGTATACAGAACAGACTAAGAAAATAAGAAATGACAAGAAGCCCACTTTGAGATTAAGCACATATATTTATGACTTTTATGTTTAAATATATCCCAAATTTTATGATATCAGATAAAGTAACTGGTTAAATCATGTATCAATATTTCACTGAATTGATGTCTGCACATATAATGCAAAGCTTCCTCCTGTTCCTTCAGTGGGTTTTATAAAAGAGGATGCCCAGGTTACAAGCATTTTACTCACATTAGGTACACAATCCTGCTTTGAGCTGTATTCATCAATCATCTTTCTCCATCATTTACTGGCACTGATACCATTTGCTCCATGGGAACTGTAGCAGAACGATGCAAATTTAGCACTCAAGCCATGGAAGGAAAGTGATCATGAACAAAAGAACGGAAATATATTTGTTGTACATAATGGGCTGTGAAAGCTCATATTTTACAAACCAGTGAGCCAGGTCCTCAGATGAGGAAAATCACTTTAGTTCTTGCTCCTTCAGTGGAGCTATTCCACTTTCCACCAGCACAGGTCAGCTGCATGTTGCAGCGTTGTGCCCCTTCTTTAGAAATGTCTTTTCAGATGCTGTAACACCTACTACACCTTCCAGCTTTCTCTGTTATAGTAAGAATTATTAACATCCCAGACAGCCTCCCCCTACAGCAATATTTCCTACTGTTCACTTCCAGTTTGATTCGTAATTGTTATTCAGTGCTGTGGCTGAGCAATTCCTTTGCCATTTTTCTGGTGTTTTGTTGTTGGTGGTTGTTTATTTGGCATTTTTCTTTTTATGTTTCACATTCCTTCTCATTTTCTTTCCATTCTCAATCCTTTTGCATCTGTTTCTGTGAAGAAAACTTTTTTACAGAGTCAGTTCGATGTAAAACCTCCACACTATCCATACAATCATCTTTTGTTGGAAGAGCTCCTTCTAGGATGCTAATAAATACTCATTCCAATATTTAAAGTTCGGATGTGAAGTGCATAAATGACCAGGCAGATCTGCTTTGCTTCAATTTTGCTTTCAGAAAAAGGTCTCAGATCGTATGTTACACTAATTCTGCCCTGTAGTACATGTAAATTATTGATGAATTAAATCTAACCTATCACAAGGATAGCTGAAACACCGCTGGACAAATAAACCAGTTTTTTGCACAGTGTTGCAATGTGAAGATTGCAGCTGGCGATGGTTTGTGTTCCAGTGTTTGTAGGTCTCCGCTATGGAACCTATAGCTCTTCTCTTTGCCCCCTGTGTTTTCACACCTCATAAAATAGATCACTGTAGTGGTCAAACACAAACATACTAGTGTGTAAGGCTGAGCTTTTAGAAAGAGCTTAATAGCCTTTTTATTTATTTATTTATTTATTGTCTTACACAGTTGACAGTGGAGCTGATTTTTCAGCGTGATAGGAAGTCTGTGCTACCATTTGATGGTATCTGTGTTCTCTCCAGATAACCTGCTTTCAGAAGAATCTCTTCAGATGACTTGCCAACATTAACAGTCCCCATACTGCAAATTGCTTATTATTAATATTCCATAATTTTAGAGCGTGTATCACAAAATTATTAAAATGTAACATTTTCAAAGACTGGTTAATACTACTTCTACTGCTATGTCTGGAAGTACTCCTTTTGAATGTCAGAAAATTTACAGCGAAAGCCTGTACATGAATAATGGATGGAACCTTAATTAAAGCTGATTTGTTTATTTTTGTATTTCAGGATGCAGAGTAGCGTGACAGTCATTAAATATCCCTAGTATGTTTCCATTTAAAACAAAAGCCTGAAGGCAATTATTTGCCATAATGCATACTAATAAAGAAATTCAATGACACAGTAAATAATTATTTGATTGCAAGGATAATTCTCTAGCTTATATTTGCAGCAAATGATAGCATTCTCCATCTCTTCTGTAACAGTCCGTGCAATTAGAACTTGCACGGCTGCTAGGGACAGTGTGTGAGGTTACAGAAGGGGACAGTGTGGCCATTTCTGACCAGTCCATGCACAACTGCCCTACTGGAGACATGGGCAAGTGTACACCATCTGCTGAATTTCCAGGCCCTTAACAAAAGTGTCAACACAGGGAATCTTGTTTCCCTTTATGCAGCTTCCCTTATTGGCAAGTCACACTGCAAAAGGAGTTGTCTAACTTAATGCTGGTCCATAAAAACCCTCATACGTATCACTTATGTCTGAGTAGTTATATGCATGTGCTCTGTGATGTAAGTTGTGGAGAGCTGGGGGTTGGCCTCTTCTCACAGGTAACTAGTGATAGGACTAGAGGGAATGGCCTCAAGTTGTGCCAGGGGAGGTTCGGGTTGGAAATGAGGAGCCATTTCTCCTCAGAAAGAGCAGTCAGGCACTGGGACGGGTTGCCCAGGGAGGTGGTGGAGTCACCGTCCCTGGGGGTGTTCAAGGAAAGGTTGGACGTGGTGCTTGGGGACATGGTTTAGTGGGTGACATTGGTAGTAGGAGTATGGTTGGACCAGATGATCTTGAAGGTCTTTTCCAACCTTAATGATTCTGTGGTCCTATGATGCACCAGGTCCTGAGCAGACAGTGCGTTGGCACTTCACTTCAGTGCGTGCTGCAGGCTGGAGGCACAAAGCCAATGGGCAACTCTTCAGATCGTGGCAGATACCGGATTCCCATTCAAGGTCATGCCATTTCCAATTTATTTTTTTAGTATTGCCTTCTGATAAATAGCCTGAGTTTAAATTACAAATACTTCCAAATGCTTTTGTTTCTCATCTATTTGCACATTCATGAAGTCCTACTGAAAAATGCACATTGGGTTAACTCATATAATTAACCAATTACTATGATTATATATTTTATATTGTACAAGTAAATGTTTATAAATTTATCTGCACAGGAACAGTCCCTGGGTCCAATTATCCAAGGCTTTTGCTATTCTTAGATTGTATGCCTAGGGCAGACTCTCAACAGGATATAAAAATTTGGCTTAGCAACACAATCTGTAGTCTGTTCCTTAACATCACTGCACCACTACAGTTGCTCTCTTTTAGGCTGTCTTTTAGGTGTTTGAAGAATTACCTCAGGACAATAGATGGCTACAGAAATGGGGTTTATAAGTGACTAAGTAATTAGTGAAAGCAAATCAAGGAAAGGATCAAATACTAGTAGCAGCACTTAAATTACAAATGCTGATAGTAGCTCTCAACATTGAGGAAATGAAGAATAAGGAGCAGGAAGACAGCCACTGACTATAGTAAACCCAAATGCAAAAGGCAGTAATCTCAACAGACAGCTAGCACCATATCCTATCTGATTTGTGCAAATGAAAAGTATTCTGTTAAAAGAACATTAATTATATTGACAGTGGTCAAATATATACCTACATATGTATATGTCTGTATGTATATACACGATTAGCTGAAAGAGTAATAAATTAAGCATCTGAAATTGTTCTAATATGTACCATTTTATTTAGTTTCTTTGGCTTTCTCTGGAACTACCTGTTGAGGTGCATTGAGGCCCTTGTCTCACTTTGCCTACAGGTTTCTTTAGAGGAGCTCTCCAGGTCCAGCAGCATAGGCAGAACCACTGCAGTTCTGCCTGCCCTGGCCTTTTGTGCCAGCATCATGACCCAGTGGGTCTTTTATCCATATAAATCCATAATGTAACCATTAAATGGTTTTAGTAAAATTCAGTTTTCTCTAGTGTAGTTCATCCCACCTTTTGAATGCTTATATGAAGTAAAAAAAGATCTTCCCACATCAATAAGGACATGAAAAACATTAATTAACATTTTGGATGAAGGAAAAAAAACTGTAAAGAATGAATTGAGAGTACTTTGTACTCATAACGTTAACTAGATATCACCACAATTTTTACAAATAATCAATTTATGTAAAGTATACATGGATAAATTTTCACTGGGCTCTGTATAAGGGAATGCATATAATAAGGCCGCATCACTGAGGGCCACAGTATGGGGGCGTGCAGGGGAGTTCCCTCCTCAGAGGGAAGGATAGTATGGTAAGAGATGCTGGGACATCGGCTGATGCTTGGCAAATCTGTGACACTGAATACTCATCCTTTCTCCATAGTTATTATTTGAAAAACATGAATTTATTCTACAGTGAGAAAGATAAATTTGTATTGCTCAACCAGAAGATCTGAACAATACAGGGTCTTCAGCTTAGGGATATGGTTTAGTGGGGACTGTTAGCGCTTAGGTCAGAGGTTGGACTCGATGATCTTGAGGTCTCTTCCAGCCTAGAAATTCTGTGTGATTCTGTGTGATTCTGTGTGATTCACAACGATGAAATGTGACCAAAGTTTCTGTTGCACCCAAGGAAGAACCAATTGGTTATGTGTTTTTTTTGTTGTTTTTTTTGTTTTTTTTTTTTTGTTTGTTTTGTTTTCAGTTCCAGCAATTTGTACTGAATTATACTGCAAAATGAAAATGTTTATTGAAGGCCAAGGTTGTGATTTTTTCTTCCTTGGCGATCCTATTACGATCAACCAAGCTGGGTAGAAAGATGAGGAGGAAAATCTAAGACCAAAAAACGTCACCGGTTCTTCCACATATTCCCAGTTCTATTTATTATTTTATCATTATTTTACTTATACTTGTTTTCGAAGGGATTTTTTTAGGCTTGTTTTCAAATGTGTTGTTTTGTGTGTGTGTGGTTTTTTTTTTATTTACAGTGGCGCATGCCACAAAAGGCTCGCAATCCACAGAGCGTTCTCATATAGATGCTGTGGGTCGATAATTTGACACAAAATTTTCACACCCAACCAGCCAGGAATTCACAATTTAGAGGAGAGGCAGCCTGGTGGGAAAACACCGATATTTTTCTTTTTATTTTCCTATTTTTTCCTTCCCCCCCCCCCCCGGCCTGTGAGGGCCGGCTCCCTCTCCTCAGGCGGCCGCGCATGCGCGGGGCGGTCCCGTCCCGCTGTGGCAGCGCCGAGGGCGAGCGCAGGCCTCAAGGAGAGGGCCGGGGGGAGGGGGCGCCGCCGCCATGTTCCTCTGCGCTCCCCTGCGGGCCGCGGCCGCCCGCTCGGTAAGGGGGCGGCGAGATGGGGGGCGGCTCTGCGCCACACGGGGCCTTGGGGCAGCGCTGGGCCTGCCTGGGCCGTCGGGGGGGGACTCGGGGAAGGGCATCGCCCCCTCACGGGGTCGTCCCCGCCGGCTGGTGGCGGCCGGCGGGTTGCTGTGGGGTCGTGGGGCGCTGCGCTGTGTGGGGGCTGGGGGTGAGGGGCTGGTTTCTGGCGCTGTTTTTCCATGCCGAGGACCAGCGACGCTGGCTGAAATCCTCCAGGCCTGTCTGAAAAGCAGGGGTTGGCCTGCCTCGGCCTGGAGCCTGGGGCTGGGCTCTGGGAAGCAGAGCGGTGTCCTTAAAGCAATGGGGTCAGAGCGCGTCCCCTGCAAGCAGGCTGCCCCTCACAGCTGGACACCCTAAAATTAGGCACCCGGGGCTTACCGTGCTGACACTTCGCAGCCACAACTGTATGTGAGTGCACTAAACTTGCTTAGGATTTAGTAGGGTTAACTCCATTGTCTGCAGGATTTCTGCTGTACTCGTGTGCCCTGCTTGCACTTTGAGTCCTTTTGCCTGAATTTTTCTTCTTGTCACATTCACTGAGAAGCTGGCACGCTGCTTTTTTTTTTTTTTTGCAAATAAGCAGGGCCTGTAGTTGCCTGGTAGTTAGGTTTCGATCCCAGCTCTGACCCCATGCCTCTATTTTTGCTTGTTGGTTGCTGACCCATTTGAGATCAAACAAATTTTATACACAGAGTTACAGAGCGCTGTTTTTTTTAATCCTTCTCCTACTTTAAGAGCTCTCAAAATTAGTCTAGAATTCAGTATTAATCTAATATTGATTTAAGATGAAATTTGTGCAAAATGTTTGCTTGTGACAAGGTAATATCATAAGGTGACTTTAATATTACTGGCCAGAATCTAGCATTCTCAATTTATTTTGACATGACTGATCTAGTGATAGACAATAGAAAATAGCTGAAAACAGCCTGCATACAGGTCTGTGTTCTCTTGGTATTTCAGATGCTTAATTTTTTGTCATCTTTTATTGTACTGTTCAGTTAGCCGAAAGCTCAAGGAAACACCTAACTGAGAAGAACCTCAGTATAAATGGTAGCCTCAGCAAACTTTGGGAAGCACTATATGCTATAAAGTAACACCCTGCAAAATTCTTCATGAAATATTTAATGAGGATTTGTACTCAAGGCAGATTTAAGCTGTGTTAGAACATCACCAGTCTGAAGTTAAATCTTTTAACTCCCCTTAACATACCTTGACCATTTCAGACAGTGTAGCTGTGCTCTCCTAATAGTATCCTAGAGCTCTTTGTATTCTTCTCAACATGATTTAAATTTAGTGATGACAAAAGAATTAATGATTTACAATTAGGAAAGAAATCAAGCTCATTCTGAAAATGATTATACGAATTATAGACAGTTGATATCTGATTATTATAGACTACTTTATTTTGTTTGTAGATAAGACAAATCCGCTACTTGCATGGAACACCAGCATGCAGCTCCAGTGGAGGAGCCTTATTTGTGGTAAGTAATTTACCCTACTGGAAAAGGGACGTGTAACAAGAGTTTGGCATGTGATTTTTTTAAATCTGCCTAAAGTTTCTGATGTGCAGAACTTTGGTGTAGAAGTCTAGTGGAAATCTTTTTGCTAGAGTTGTGATAAGAGTACGAAAAGGCTTTATTTTGGTATCATTTATTTCTTTATATAATGAAAACTCCTGTAGTGGTGGTGTTAGCATTTGTGTGTGATTACAGGTGAGATTTTGTTTAAATGTATTTCATTACAAAACAGCTCTTGTTTCCTTTTCTTACTATAGTTAATTTAATTTGTAATGGAAGCTTGTGACACTTTTTGTGGTCCCAGTTTCTTGGCTTCTACAATTTGCCACAGAATTAACCATAGGTCTGGGTCTGGGTCTAGCTGTTTGCTAGCAGTTGAAAAGTGCAGTTCTGGTTCATGCGCCATGACGTACAATAAGTTGAGTAGCAATTCATGATTGAGTCCATCAGGCATTATTGCAATACATAAAAACAGCAATAGTGATTGCATAAGTACGAAAGCACTCAATATTTAAACAACTAAAGAAAGTGTGCTGTCTGTCTACCTGTGAAGAGAACCTGAAGCATCTCTGAGATGTCTTCTGTCCCATTCTGCTCCATTCAGTGATTTATCTAGACTTCAGCCCAACAGCTGAGTAATTTGGCATTTTTCCACCATTTGGTGGAAATCAGCGCTCTTCTAGAGAATTGACCATTTTGTTGGAAGCAGGTGCTCAGCGTTTTTGGACAGACTTTTATTTTTTTTTTTTTTAACTTTTTGCAGCTGCTGCAGTCTCCGCAGCTTTCCCGTTGGATGAAGCTAATGGGATTACAGTACATGCTTCGTGTAGTTTTCCAGCAACCTGAACAGGCATTGGTGATTTATGGAGTGAGAGCTGATACTCAAGGAATACAGGAAACATGAGTGTAGGCTGACGAGTTAGGAAACTTCAAGAGTAGTTTGAGATTGGTGAAGACAGGCAAAAGGTGGCTTTGACACTGCTAATGGATGGCGGTGTCAGGTAGATGAGGCTAGACAGCTTCATAAATTCTCCAGGCGTTTTGCAAGACTTATATTATTGTTTCAGTGGCTTGCTGGAGCGAGGAGAATGAAACTAGCAAAAGGGAGCTAGAAAAGAAAAGCTGTGAGCTTTAGTTAGCTTCTTGTGATTTATTTTTTTTTTGTGATTTCTTGAGAGTTTTGTTTAATAGCATCAATAACTCCTTTTGTTTTTATTCCCCAACAGAACTTTTGCTAGAAGAGCACTGGAAATTGTTTGTGGGGTGTTTTTTGTTTGTTTTTATAATGGAGTATTTGTTCTTTTATGAAGTTTTTATTGTTCGTACTGATGTATGGTTTTTAAGGACATCATTTTAGAGATGATACACTGGAAATAACAGCTGTTCTAGACGCAGGGAGATCAAGTAGAAACATAACTAGCAAGTAACAGTGGAAGGCAAAATAGTAGCCTGAAATAAAACAGGCGTGCAGATTTGAGAAGGAAAAGTTAAGTTATGGAAATACCATGAATCATGGATTATCAGTGCAGCTATGACCTACAGCAGATCTGTAAGGGAAAGAAATTAAAACTTGCAGGGTATTTCCAGTCACTTCTTTTTTCCTTCAATAGCCTCTTTTTAAGAACTTTCATTGATTTCGGTAGAAAACCCTCTCCAATAATACGTACGATGAGTGAAATCCTTTCTTTGGGTCGGACTAAAATAGAGGCAACTCTGTTCGTGAAAGCTGTTTTATGTTCTAGACTGGACAAACAACACATTCATGCTTATTAAAAGATCAGTGTGTTCAAAGCAAATCAGTTACCATTCTGTAATTCCTGTTATTACAGGGAAAGTCACCTCAAGTGGAGGAGTACGTATTGATTGTAGGGTTTTTTAGGCTTGGAACTGGGAAAGGGATATTTGTGCCCTCAAACTGACGGCGGTAGTAGTACTGGCTGCCCCAGCGTATCGATGGGATAAGCAAAGGGAATCTCTCACTAGGACACCAGCTGTGATTCAAAGTTGTGTTTGACCTTTCGGTGTTTCTGTATTAAAATTTCTAAATCCAGGAATGGCTGTGAATCATCCACATTTTAAGTTGTGCACTGACAACAGTTGCTCACAACGTTAGTGGCTTGCCATGTTCGATCTTTCATGAAATCCTTCCATACTTTCTAAGAAGGTAGCACGGAATGGCTTGGGTAGGAAGGGAGCTTAAAGATCACCTGGTTCCATCCCCCCTGCCACGGGCAGGGACACCTCCCACTAGACCAGGGTGCTCAAAGCCTCATCCAGCCTGGCCTAAAAAGGTAGCGTGGAAACTGTAAAATCATCCTAGGATGTTTGAGAGGATGATGAAAGTCAGAGGAGTAGGGTTCATTCCTTTAGTTATTGGTTGTGGATGACTTTTAGCTTCAACCATTGAGTATAGCTTGAATTTTTGTGTACTTTTCCAATTTAATTTGAAACATTCTCAGTTTTAAAATAGCATAAAGCTTGGACTCAAACTCAGCTATGAGTATGTCTTAATGAGCTACTTGGAGATAACTGGAAGTTTTGTGCAGCAAGCTTTTGTAGGGGGTAAGGGCTTTTATCAGAACTGAAATTTTATTGCAGTAACAATCACTTTCTTCAAGACTTCCTAATTTGTATTTTCTGAAAATACAAACTTAGAACTAATTTCACTATGATGTTTTCCAAGAAGACCACCTTAGAAATATTATGATAAAATACCTGATTTTTGAAAGTAGGAATTTGGAAAGTCTGCTTGTTCTGTTCTGATTCAGAATTGTATGTGAAATGTTGATATCTCTTACAAAATTATGAAATGTAAAAATTGGTTAATAATATATGTTTAAATGTGGACATATTTATATAGGAAGTTTCTTGATAAGTTTTAAAGTTTTTTACTAGTTAAGGTCTCATGGGAAAACAAAAAAAAAATGGGCTATGGTTTTAGTCTTTTGTTGTTTGTTAAGGTATTAACTAGAGGACTCTTCATCTACTTGTGATGAGTTTGACCATAATTGCCAAATTGTATCAGCTGTTACAAATGTCTGTTTTGTAAATAATACCAATTTCTTGAAGAAATAATTACTTGAATAGGAAATAACAGGAATAAGTTGTCTTTTTTTTTTTTTTTTAAGAGTGATGAAATAATTACCAACATGTTTTATTACTTTCTGAGAGATGGTTAGTCATTTATGATAGAGTACTATGACATTTTTATCTGGAATGTATCAAATCAGTTTTATTCAAGTACCTCAACTGTAACGGTCTAATAAAATACTTCACAACAGTAAATCTGTCTTGAATAATTCCCTGACAACTCTATTATTTCTTTTACTTCTCTTGAAGCACAGGGATAGTCCCGAAAATAATCCAGATACTCCCTTTGAGTTCACACCTGAGAACAAAAAGGTATGCAGATAAAATAAAATCCACCATAAGCATGCAAGCTTTGTCTTTAGCTCAGTACTGATATTTTTCCTCTTTTTCCTTTAAAAAGCGAATAGAAGCAATCATAAACAATTACCCAGGGGGACACAAGTCTGCAGCTGTGATGGCAGTACTAGATCTGGCTCAAAGACAGCATGGATGGTTGCCCATTTCAGCTATGAACAAGGTATTTAGTGCTAACTTATTTTGCAAGCATATTTTTTTTTAAATCTAACTCTTTATAGTACAATATTAGCACTTTTACCAAAGTGGACTAATGCAGGAATTTACATGTAGCACAGAACTGTGAGTATTCACTATGAGACTACGTTAAAATAAAAAAAAAAAAAAAAAAAAAGAAAACTATTGCAGGAACCTTGCCTCTGTATGTGTAATATAAGCCCACTGCTAGCAGCTACAGGCTGAACAAAACAAAGACAACATGAGCCTTAGTTAGACAGGCTCTTCCCAGAATCATCCTGGAAGTAGGAGTAAACTTGAAAGACTGTTCACTGCTTAATTTGGGGGAAAGAAAAATGATGATGTTTTACTATTCTTCTGTACCTCAGTAGCACTATGCACATGGCCAGGATTGTACTTAATCTCTGGGCCTGTAAAGATTTCCACAAAGCACGTGCTGGTGTAGTGGGTACAGTGAGTATTTCGTAATGCCTCGTAGCAAGTGTCCTTAAGACTGGTTTCTTATCAAGTTACTGATTAAAATGTTTCAAAATAAGCAAACAGCTATGTTGCTCCAAAGTGATAGGTTGCATGGCAGAAATCAAGTACCAAGAAATTTGCACCTCAGTTTTTCTATTCATACAACTTAATCTCATATTTTGTGTTGCAAACTGGCATTATCAGTTTTAAAGTGAAGTGTTTCAAATTCAATCAAGGTAAACTAAAAGCAGGATTGTGAGGATTATAGAAGTTACTGAGTAAGAGTAAAGTGCATGCTTAGAAACAGTAGTAGACATTGTATAAAGCTGCAAATAATGTAGGATAAAGCCTCAAATCTCCATTAACACCAAATGGGAAAAGTCTTTTTATGCTTACTTGGAAAATGATACGTTTAAAATGACCTTAAGATTTTTAAGCAAGCAAATATTTTCTGTGGCTTGTTATTTGCCTGCTGCTATAGGTACTGGAATACAGAACAGCCACGCTTTTGAAAGCTGTCAGTTCTCAATCTGAGCAGTGTGCCAGGGTTCCAGGTTAGTGAGGTCAGGGGTACTTCCACCAGAACTGACTGCATGGAGAGTCGCTGTATTTATTAGCAGGGACACCAATTTGCAGGTGTAGTAGTGGTGGTTTTAGGGCCAGCCCTGGTACGTCATGGGACCCAAGAAAGCCTGCTGTATCTGAGTGAGGGGAGCGTAGCACCAGCCTGGATTGCTCCCTTTGCCAGAAGGCTGAAGTGGGTTAGCGTGGGTGGATTCGTACGAGTCTGTTCATTCATGCAGCAAGAGTGCAAGCAGAGTATGAGCTGGAGCTAATAATGAAAGCTGGGACCCAGCTGACTTCTTGAAACTAGTTTGTGTGTGATGCTGGAGGAGGATTGACTGCAACTCCTCACTGTGCTAATCCTTGGCTTAGTGGAGCTTGTGTTCAAACAAGGTCAACTCCAGTCAGAGTAACTCGAGTGTTTTTTCTTAGCACTTCAGTAGTTACACTTTGAAATCCATCCCCTTCTTCCTGTGTATCTGGAGTACCTAAGCCTCATAGTGCAGATACAGGACAGGTGACTTGACTGAGATGATTTCTGCAATATCTTTACTGGTGCCGTGTGAGAATTCAATACAGTGTCTTCTTTTCCCCTTATTATAGGTTGCTGAAGTTTTAGAAATGCCTCCCATGAGAGTGTATGAAGTAGCAACCTTCTATACCATGTATAACCGTAAACCTGTTGGGAAATACCATATCCAGGTCTGCACTACCACGCCTTGCATGCTGCGGGACTCTGATAGTATTTTAGAAGCCATCAAGAAGAAGCTTGGTATGATACAAATTCGTAATATGCTTTTTTTTTCCTCCCTGGTTTAATGATGGATTGTTTTCTAACTGAAAAAAAAATCCTTTATATCACAGAATCACAGAATTTCTAGGTTGGAAGAGACCTCAAGATCATCGAGTCCAACCTCTAACCTAACACTAACAGTCCCCACTAAACCATATCCCTAATGATCCATATGATGGAGACAGTTCAGAAATGCTTCTCATTTAGAGTGAGATCACTGTAGGATTTTGAAAATAAGGAGTACTAAATCCAAATATTTCAGTACAGTAGAACAAAAGTCAGGAGTCTCATTTAGTGTTCTTAAAGTGATTTTAAAGGCAATTTGCCAGGAAATGAATTATTCTAATATAACTCTTGGATTGCAAATTAAGCACTATCCCATATACAGGAGAGGGCTCTGAATGTCATGTCACTTCTTTATATGTAAAATAAGATTTTTAAGGTATACACTATACGAAATTATTAGTGAGGCTTTTTCTCCTTAAATAAGGTGACTTATACATTTCTCATGGGAAAAGTCAGTTGAGAGTTCTGCATCATGTGAGATGTAAGGAGAACTCACTGCTTTTGTGTACTTTTTCTCCGCTTTTCTCCTTGTTGTGTTATGAGGAGAAGAGGGTAAGGTCAACAACTAACTTTTCCCATCCTATGCAGTCACGTTATGCTGACCTTTCAGAAAAACGACAGTGATAAGGGCTAAGACCAGTTGTTTATAATCTTGCTTCCCTCATGTTCCATTGTCTGGAAAAGGCATTTTTAGATTCAGCTTGTCCTGGTTTTGTTGCTGCAAAGATGGCTTGATTTTAATTGAAACTTAGTTTGAGAAGTCAAAGGAAAAGCAACTGTTTCCTGGAATTAAGAGTGTTTGTGTAGATCATACTGAGACACAGGCCTCACTTAAACTTTTACTAATTTTTACCCCTGTTAACTATGGGGGGAAATTGCATCTTAGCCTTTATCCTTCCACAGAATGTTCTGGCAAGCTAAGACTCTGAGATGTTATTTTGGCTAACCTGCCCTCTGGGGGAGGTCTGTATCTTTTTTGGTTATATCACTAGAGCAGTAACACGTCATGGAAGCTAAGCATGCGTATGATGGGGTTGTTCAGGAAATAAGCTCTTGTGGAGGAACTTGGAAGCTGTTTGCAAATTTGGACCAACGCTCCTAATACTTGGCTCTTGGTTAATTTGGGGATTCAGTACTTAACGCTGATTATTAATGCATTTCATATCAACATAGGAGAGCTATATTTTCCAATTTTTTCTATTACATCATATTGATTCCTAAAAATATTCCTGAGTAGAGCTTTTCTGAGAACTGTCATTTCATGGTTATTTTTCAACAAATAAAAACTAAATCAGGTCTTCAAAATGTATCCAAAGACTAACTTCACAGTTTTAGACTCGTTTAAGAGGATTTAACTGTACAAATGTTTTTGCGGCCAAAATACACGTAATGAGGAAATTATGGAGTAATTACAATATTGTTTATTAATCTTGATCCATAACCATTGCTGAACCTAATATTTTATTTTTTTTTAGGTATAAAAGTTGGGGAAACAACACCTGATAAACTCTTCACATTGATTGAAGTGGAATGTCTGGGTGCTTGTGTAAATGCACCGATGGTACAAATAAATGACAACTATTATGTAAGTATTTTTAAGAAACTAGATTTCTTTGAGCTACCTGAATCTTCATTCTTTCTGATTGTGAATTTTTGGTCGGTTACTCAAATCGCTGTTGGCAGGGATAGCTTAGAACATATTTTACTTTCTCGGCCTCTTCCTGAAACACTTCATCTGTGCGATAATGTATTGATGTCCTGGTCTCTAGAAGAACACACATTGTAAATGCTCTCGTTTTCATATGGAGGTGATGAGATCATGGATAGAGATTCTCGTGGAAGTGGTGTTTTGGCATATCCATCCAGCAGAATGAGCAGTTTCACAGGTGGCTTTCAGATTGAGAAAGAATGCTTTTTTCCTTTAGATTTTTTTTTTAAACTCTGCATCATTGCCTTTTTGTGGTTACTGTAGTTCTCAGTCTCTCCTTTTCTCATTTAATGAGCAAGTTAAGATGATGCATCATCTGCTAAAAGTCAGCTTGCTTTAATTACCAGGTTTTGCCTTTCCATACAGTAGCACTGAACTACCTCCCCTAAATAAATACGTTCAGTAGGTGTTCTGCTTTGGGCTTTGTTTCAGAGGTGTGCTTTGTCATTTGAAGTAATGCAGACAGTTTATAATCTGGAAGCACAAACAGCTTGGTTTTGTCATTTAGTAGTATATAATGGAAAAGAAGAAGAAAATGTACAGCATGGAGTTCTATAGACACTGTGGAGTAAGTCCAAAAAGCAGCAGACCATGATGGTATAGAGTAAAATGCTATTTCTATTGTGTTTTTCTTCCAAAAAATAAAAACTTAGGAAGTTTCAGTCCTCTTCGGACTGAATGGCCACACCTTGTTCTGTGTGCCTGTTTGAACCCAGTGCTAGGCTCTTCAGTTCTTCATATCAAAGTCTTTTCTTACCAGCTACTTCTTCAAAGCCTTACGTAGTGGTTTTGGATGACGTGTCACTGATGCTATGATAGTGATTTCTACTCCTCTACTAAAACCACTATTCCTGATGTAAAAAAATAAATAACAACAACAACAAAAAACCATTGTGCTTTCTTCATCTAATGCATGATCCCTTCTGAGCAGAGAGAAACATTGGGAGTACTGTTATTGATGTAGTAGCAGTCTTTTGTTAAGCTATCACAGAATGTGGTAGGTGGGTTGAAACATTCTTTCCAGTGTATTAGTATCAGATTATTAATTTCAGCAGTATGGATTTTGATCACAGCTTGTTCCTAGTTCACGTTTACCTTCATTTATTTTGACTAACCTGAACAGCATCAACCTGTGTGTTGCAACCTTCCTAACCAGCTTTCTGAAACCATTTAATGTAGACTTGCAGCATAGAATTCTTCTGACAGTGTTTCGTTATCTTCTACATAGAAAAAGCAGAATTTTTCTGCTTCAGTCTGTTTCTAATGCAGTTTACATCCACAATTTGCTTAACAGCCTTCTAAGTGTTGTTTTTTTACTGTCCTTTTAAAAATGGTTCTTTCACTTGCCTGAATTTCTTTCGATTTTCCTTTGCTAGAAATTGTACTGTAGTCAAAAAGGTACTAGCTGTAGCTCAAAGACTTTGTTTCTTTTTAAAATCATAATTGTCAAGGGGATTAGTGCCTTGTCTTTTGCACTTCATATTTCATGTAAATACAGCATCCTAGTATGAGACTCTTTGTATGAGAGTCATAAGTGGTATCTAAAGTTGTAAAAGTTGGTGTTACCCACTGTCACATTCTGATTTATTCTTGAGTTTTGTCCATCGCCATGACTGTGACTGAGAACATGGAAATACTCTTTTAAAAAAGGAGAATTCTGCTTTGAAAATCAAGTTCTCAATGCAGTCACTTCCTTTTTTGGCTTCTCTTTTTTCTGTATAGAATTGGAATCAGAGGCATGACAGTGTATTTGGAAAGCCCATAACTATGAATTAGTTTAAACTTGGTGCAGCTGTTAACTTAAAATATACAGTACTGCTAGTGTAATGCTGTCTTAACTTGCTTGATGAGTTCTTAAAGTTTCCTGAGGGAAATACTGCAGCCTATGGAAGATAAAGGGAACTTAAGAATGGTATCAAGAAGCAAAACCTGTGGCATAGTAAGGAGAAGGGAACAAGATAATACAGAATTCATGTATTTTTCATTTCATTGTGCTGATGCATTTTTTGATAGCGGCCTGCCTATAAATCTGGAATTTCTATCAAACAGGTACTCAGTAAGCTTTTAAAACCACATTAAAACAGTCAGTTGGAAAGTATGGTCTAGCTTAACACTATTTTTGAACTTTTAGACTTTTGAATTATGGCTTGCTTGGCTGCCATCAGCCCAAAGAATTCATGCATTGGAATAAATGCAGTCTTTAAATACCATCTAAAACTTATTTTAAAACTATCTTGTGATGCTAACACAATCTGATTTACTTATTCTTTTTTAAGAATTGTTCTTCTGTACTGCACCCACTAGCTCGCTAAAGAATTTGAAACCACAAACCCAAGTGATTGACGACTAGAGTGAACGTTGTTAGCTTTAACATCATTTCTGCAACTATATGTAAGTTAGAAATATTAGTAATAAAATTACATTAGGCTTTTTAATTTTCCTTATTCTTTAAAATGGTATATGTATGTCAATAACAGGATCAAAATTACCTGTGAGGATCCCCATTTAGATAGCCACACATCTGATAATTGTAAATGCTGCAGTTAGCATAATTGCTGACTTTTTACTTATTTTTTTAGGAGGATTTGACACCCAAAGATATCGAAGAGATAATTGATGAGCTAAAGGCTGGCAAAGTTCCCAAACCTGGCCCAAGGTATGCTGTATTTGTATGATAATGTGCAGCTACTTGAAGGCTTCTCCTTTTGAGGAAGGAAATTGTAATTCCTATTACAACTCTAGGAGTTCACAACATGCAGCTAAACAGTGTTAATTAATTTACTGAATAGCATGGTATTTACTCAGTGCCTTTCTATTTATTCAAAGCCGGAAAGAACTGAGTAGAGAAATTTCATGTTCCTGATGACTACAGGACCGTGAAATGGGAAAATCACAGCTTCATTTGGCTCAGTATCTAACAGGTGAAGGATGTCACCTGTTTTTTACATGTTGATTTCATGTAAATCAACAGTACCTGTTTGGGGGGAAGTTTGTGAAATGTTTATTTCTGAACTGTTATCACCTGTTACTTCCCATTGTTCTTTGTTAATTCAAATATACCAATGGGTGTGTGAATGGCATAATTAATTACTATCATTCGATTGTAGTGTGTTACCTATTCCTATTTTTTTCAGAATAAGAGAACGATGTTAAAAGCTAGTTTCTGAGTGCAGGGATACATCTCTAGCAGAAACAGGACTAATACAATTGGAATGTTGTCTTTAGTATTGGTGGTATCAACATCACCTTTGTTTGGTCTACCTTTAAATAAGTGAATAAAAAACCCTAACAGCTACATCTTGCATTTGAATTATGAAGCTGTTTGTTGTTACTTGAATTTGAAAACCTTTTAATTAAAGGGTGGCATTCCACATTTCTGAAAGATGAATACATGAATGAAACAAGTGGCTTCAGCCTTGAGGCAGTTTTGTTAAGGTCTTCTATCCAGTGATTAAACATCGGTTATAACAGTACCAGCAATGAATAAATCTGCTGTCATTTTTCAGGAGTGGACGTTTTTCTTGTGAGCCAGCTGGTGGCCTTACATCTCTGACCGAACCACCGAAAGGACCAGGTTTTGGAGTTCGAGCTGACCTCTAAGGATGCCTCTAACGATCTTTGTAATATATGCTAAACTGTCTGAAAATAATAAAGTAACTTTAATCTCAGTAAAATGATTTACGTTTTAATATTTTAAAATGAAGGGAAGCAATAGGAATTAGTGTTTAGCTTACTGTGGTCTAAACTACAGTAAAGCCTAGTCATGATTCAGATCATTAAAAAAATGGACAAAAGTGATTCTGTAGATTATAAAGTGTCTATTTGTGATCATTGATAGATAAAAAGATGCAATTTTAATCTATCACTGAAAATTCTTTTAGCTATTTCTGACTAAAGGCTCTTTAAAGAGGCAGCAAACCTAACTAAATTTCAAGTTTGGCTAATGCCCAAGGAACAAAGTGAAAGCAGATTCTCAAAACTTTACTGCACGTTACTTTTAACGGCAATTTAAACCAAACAAAAACAGGAAAGGTCCTCCTGTTCTTTTGAAATTGGTGATTCTTCTCATGTCTGACTCTGCCTATTATCATTCAGGAAGAGTGTGAAAACTGTCTTTTTGCCATGTTACAGAAAAAAACCAAGTAGTAGTAGTAATACTCTACTAAAAGAATGAGCAACAAGAAACCACTTCCTCTACAAATTTATTTAACACAGCCAAAGTATGCAGTTGGGGGGGGGAGGGGAGCTAGAGTATACCAGAACGGTTTAATACATGGCTAAGTGTAATATGTGAAACTGTGATTCACAGACCCTTCTTTGATATTATTCCTGTGTATCTGTTAATTCTAAGAAAATCTAAAAGTGTGAAATTGAAGTATTTCTCCGTTAAAAAAATAATAAAGTGACTGCTCATTGACAGTCGGCACATGTGCTTGTAAATCTGGAAGATGCATTTTTATAATATAAAAATATTATAAGTAATATTCAAAGTTGCTTTAAAATGTTAGGAAATGAATGTGTCCATCACTGGGACCATACAAAAATCATGGGAGTTGTCTGCCTCTTCTAAAATACCTTGTGGAACTACATACTTATTACTAATGTGATAGATGGAGCTTATTTGCATTATTTATACTGCATTCTTTATTCAATTTGTTTTGTTTTGACATTCTGATTAACAGTACTTCCCAAAGCTGTTCTCCCTTTCCTGAGCTAAGTTTTATGTCTACAGCTGTCCCTGCATAATCATAACCTCATGTAGCCTGTTCATGCCCTACCTTCATTTCATAGGCTCTGTGATGTAGTTGCACCAGTAGTAATGTGTATATTACTTGGGGATATCAAGTCTTGCACCCACTACATTACTAAGCTTATAAAATATTGAAATCGCATATGAATGGAAAAGTTTGATAAATACAAATAAAAGTCATAAGTGGTCACTCAGAAAGCATTAAAAATCGTGCATACAACTGATACAGGACACTGTATCTGAGAAAGTAGTACGTGGATTGAAGATTGTAGATGAAAGTTGCTGAATGCTCTTCTAAAAGGTTACTGGAGTGCTTGTAATGGTTACGCTCCTGTAGCAGGCCAGTCCTTCCAGTACTTCCATAGTAGCATAGAATGAGGAAATAGCATACTACATCTTGATGCAGAGACAATTTTTATGTACCAGTCTGTAGCTAAACTTGCTCCACTGTAACAAAGTGGTATTTCTGTTCAAGCAAGGTTACCTTTTGAAGTACACACTGAAGAGAACTGCAAAGTTTTTATGTGGTATGGAGCTATCCTGTGCTAACAATTACTATTCATGTGTTTGCTTGCAGCTGTGAAACTGATAAGCTGCACAATTGGTTTGAAGGGAAAGGGAGTTTTAGCCCTGCTTAGTTTCCTACCTAAAATGTTTGGAACTTTTCTAAAGAAGTATCTAAAAACAAAGCTCTGCAATGCCTGACTCCTCCCATCCGTAAAGGTGGACAGGGCGATTTGTTTGCATTGTTTCAGTTGTCTCCTCAGTTTGTTCTGGTCCTAGAAGAAAATGTTTTGATGTCCATCTCATGGCCATCAACACTGTCCAACCGGTGGTGGTTTTTTCCTTTGGTAAAGACGGAATAAAGTTAGGAGTAATGGGAAACTCCACTAGATGCCCAATGATGCATTTGATGTCGGAAAGGATTTCCATGTCCTCTGTGAACTGCTAGAAAAATGTTACCTGGAACTGCTCTGTCAATAAGGAACCAGCCCTGACGTTCAGTTCTGTCCATACGGTGCCTGAAGTGGGCCCCCTGACTGACCTGATGGCTGCCTTCCCGAGGCTTGCACGTGTGCTTTCATCAGCATCACATTTTGCAACTTCTTGGAATAAAGTCCCTATCTTTAGATACTTTTTTTTCCTGCAGTTTGAGATTTTCAGTCACTCAGTTACTAGATGAAGTTCAGCAGTGACAGAGCTGAACCAGCTGCCGTGCGTGCTTATCTTGCTAAGACCAGTGTAGCTCACACAGCTGATGGCACGAGATGTTTCACTAGCGAAGGCAGCTCACAGCAAGTACTACGCAAGTCGGCACAAAACAGCTACGAGGGAGCTTTGCAGCCGTGCTGTGTAAAAAGGAGGGACTCCTGGAGGCAAGGGGAAGATGTTAACGTAGGGTTAGCGGTCAACAAGCGTTGCTTTTTAAGAGTCCGAACTGGAGTTCTCCCAAGAGGCTTAAGGAACTGAATTTTCTTTAGTTACTGATGTTATTATCAACTCATAGCATCTGCTGCAGAAAGTATAAATTGTTTCCCTGTTATCTCAGCTGCTGTTTGTGAACACCTACCAACAGCGACAGGGATCCTGGAACTGCCTGCGCTGATGTACAAGGATGGGAACGCAGCATTACAGCACCGCACTGCACCTGCAGCCTGTCATGGTTAGGGGGTGAATCATCAGCATCTGCCCTGTTAAGCACTGTGAGAAGAACAAATACTCTGCCTTGGGAAACACTTCTCTCTCCTCCTTTTCAACCTGCTCGCAACCTCAAGCGATGACCTCTGAGGTTGGCTGGATGTAAAAGAAGGTGAAGTGGATGCGGCTCGGTCACTGGTGCCTGCGCACCTGCTCCTGGGCAGCCGACAGCACGCAAGGTATGCTGGTGGAGTCAAAGGGGAACGGCAGCAGTTGCTTTGCAGAAGAAACGAGCTGTACCCTGATTTCTGCAAAAAACTTTGGGAAGCAAATTAGACACGTTTACCTAAACCACGCGATGCGCAGCATGGGGATATTCAAGATGTGTGACGCCAGTCTCTACTTGTGGTGGACCTTGTCCACAGAATACCTACTCTTCGTCAGAATAAGGTATTAAATGTAGCATACGGAACAGAAAAGAGGTTAGCACCCATTTTTTATCCACCTTATTTATTCCAGCATCTCTGACCATTAAAGATGGTGGGCGTGAGGCACAGCACATGCCTTTTGTTTCTATAAAGGGGAACACCACAGCACTTTCAATTCTTTTTTTTTTTTAAACATAGAAACACGTTTGTTTTGTTTCGCTAAACCCTGTGGATTGATTACTGAAACAAGGGTAGTATTTTAAGTCATCCACCTTAAGTGGTAAGGCCACCTCAACCAGTAAGTGTCAGAATGTTTCTAGTTAAACGGAAGCAAATGCTTCGTTGTCCCAATATCCTTTAAATGGGAAGAATTGATATTTCTGGCTTGGTAAATGGGGAGGGATTGTTGCTTTATTCGCAGTAACAGGTGAAAGCGGGGCAGCAGGAGCCCCACCGCCCGCAGGGCTTTGTTCCGCCGCCCCCTCAGCGCTCTGACCCTCAGGAGCACCCTGGGGAGCGCCGCCTGAAGCCCCCCCCCCGGGCACAAAACCACGCAGACACGCCGTTAAAGCCACGCTGTGTATTTATTTTAACAACCAGGCGCCGACCCCTTTCTGAGCAGCGAGCGCTGAGGCAGGGTCGCTTTTTAACAGCGCCGCTTTGCTCCCGCAGCTCCCCCCCCACTCTCCCCTCAGGGCCGGCCCGCGTCCCGCCGCGCATGCGCAGCGCCGGCCGTTAAAACTCACTGCGCCATCACCGCCGGAACCCCCCCCCGGGGAGGGGGCGGGGGCGGCGGGAGGAGGGGGCTGCGCCCGCCGGGGGAACGGACCCCGGAGGGGGGGGGGGGTCAACGGAGCCCGGAGGGGGTTAACGGAGCCGGGGCTTAACGGGGCTGGGGGGCAGCCCGCCGCTGCTTCCAGAAAGTTCGGGCGGCCGGCAGGGAGCGTGCGCGCCGCTCGCCCCTTCCATTCCTTCCCCTCCCCTCCCTTCCCCGCCTCCCTCCGCTAGGCGCGGCTATGAGGGGAGAGGGGGGGGAGCGGGGAGCGGGGCGCGGGGCGGGGCGGCAGCGGCAGCGGGGGGAGGTGGCGGCGGCATTGGGGCGGCGGCGTTCAAACCCCGCCGGCCACCGGAGCGACGGAGCGAGGGACGGACAGAAGGACAGAACGGACAGACGGACGGACCGGGGGGGGGACGCGGCGGGGAGGCGCCCCTGAGCGGTGCTGCTGGGCGAGGGGGAGGTAAGGAGCCTGCCCGCGGGGGGAGCCATGGCCGCCGCTGTCACCGCCCGCCCGCACGGCGGCTCGGCGGCTGCTCGCCGGGCTGGCCTCGCCTCCTTCTCTTCCCTTCCCTTCCCTTCGCTTCTTTCCCTTCCCTTTCCTTCCCTTCCCTCAGCACCCAACGGCCGCCAGGTGCCGGGCGGCGCAGGTGGAGCTCGGCAACAAAGGAAGGGCGGCGGGGCGGGCACCGGCAGGGGGGCTGGGGGCTGACACGAAACATAAGGATTTCAGCCCGTTTTATAACATAATATCCCCTTTTATTCCGCCCCGCTCCGCCTTATCCCCTTTTATTCCACCCCTCTCCACCTCATCCCATTTTATTCCGCCCCCCTCCCCCTTATCCCCTTCCATTCCACCCCATTTCACTCCACCTCACCCCATTTCATCCCATTTCATCCCCCATTACCCCCATTTCATCCCGCCTCATCCCATTTTATCCCCCTTCCTTCCTTCCCACCTCCCCGGTGCGACCCAGCCAGGTGGTGTGTGTGGCAGCTGTCACCTGCCCTCCCCACACCTTTGTTTTGGGGGATGAGGCGGGGAACCTCTATTTGACCACCTCTGTATGACCCCACAGTTTATGGGGTATACCTCTGGACGACCCCACAGTTTATGGGATAAAGCAGCGTGGAGGGCGAGCTGTGGTGCCTGCGGGAACACAAAGCTGTCGGGCAGATGCGGAGCGGGCCAAGGGTGCTCACGTTCCAGGAAAAAACTGTTTAATCCTGGAGCGGTGGGGAAGGCTGAGATCACCACGGCTGAGAAATCATTAGCTTTCATTCAAATAATTCCCTGTTATCAGCGTGTATGGTCTGAGGGGGAGACACTTCTCGAGTGCGAGTGGTTTTCGGTGTGCACCTCACGCCTGTCACTGAGGTAGGGACATGGGGAGCCCCCACAGGTGCTGTGCGGCTGGGCAGAGGTAAGCACCCCGTGCTTTCCTCCCTCCCCCTGTAACCCTCTGCCCTGGTTCAGGGGTTAGGAGTGCCCGGAGTAACAGAGCTTTAAAAGGCATCAGGGTGTTTCACCTGTTGGCGTTTTCTTTCGGGCTTGTGCAGATGTTGGGTGTCACTTGCTTTTCATCATTCTTTAGGTAAAAGCTCAGATCCTCAGCTGGCCTTGATGAGCTGGGGACCTGAATCTCACTCCATGTGAATTCAGGAGGTCTCTGTGCAACCTTGAGGAGCTGTCTGTTCAGATAAAATTGCAGGCTTTGAGCTACAGCGCAGTGCTACGTTGGGAAGGTAGCAGTAAACCCTTTCACGCTCCTTTTTCTTTTTTTTCCCCCCATGTACTTTGACTTCCCTGTCAGGTGTCTTGGAACGCAAAAAGTCAAGGGGTGCCAATGTTTTCCTCAGCACCCAGAGGACCGTGGCAGTGTGCTTGTGGTGATGTCAGTGTTTTCTGTCCAGTGTGCGAGTCCCTTCTCTGATTGCCTGGCTTTTCTCAGATATATTTTATGAAATACTCACTGGGCCTGGCTGGAGAGCGGACAGTGGAGGTCAGAGGGCCTGTGGTTGTTTCGACAAGTTGACAGCTGAATCTGAGAGATGTGAGGGTTTCTGCCCTTCCGCTGCCATCTCCTCGTGCCTTCTCCCACCGAGAGAACTATTCGCAGTTATTGGTGAGCTCTGAACGCTACAGGCAGCAAAACTTATGACAGATGTTGTGTAAGAGAGCAGGCTCTACGCAACGAGCTAAGTTCATTTATGGCTTCTTCTAGTGGGCTTGCACAATAGGTGGCTTCTTTGAGGACAAGGTCTTTGAGTAAGCAGTCAGAGTGACTGCTTGCATGAAGCATTGAAACTTATTTGACGTTAGCTGGGGGGGGATACTACTGCGTTACCATTTATGCTAGGGTCAAAAGGATAAACTTGAAATCGAACAGTAATTGTTATAGGATGGAGCAGCAGCTTATTTGTGTCACTGGAGTCTGTTTAAATTGCTACAAAACCCAGAAACTGTTGCAGCTCTAATTTAACTAGGTGGAAGACTTTGGGATATAGCTGAAGGACTGCACCTACGAACGGCCGAGCTAGAACGTCCTCCTCCATGTTGAGCGTGCAGCTACGTGAAAGTAAATTCTGTTTGTTGACCCGACTCGCCATGTTTGGGCAATCTTAGTCTGGTGAAATTGCCTGGAAGACTGGCGCAGTTGATCCCCTGTAAAATTGGAACGAGCTATTGATCACAAAATGTGTAATGATTAACCCGCCGCCGCAATGTTAACCTGCACGTTCAGAACAACTTAGTTTTGACTTTTTTTTGTTGTTGATCTTATTCATGCCCAGCCCACCTCTGAGTGTTTGGCTTTTTTTTTTTTTCTTTTGCGTCTTCTATTGCAGATGGAGCAGTATAAATGTTGATTGGTCATTTAGTCTCCAGACTATGTTTTTTAACTGCATCATTAGGCTCTGGTGACAGATGGTATGAAATAAATAGTAGCACAAACTCTGTCTTGCATTTTGTGTTATGACACTGAATAGTTTTGTTAACAGAATAACAGAAGTCAGAGCCTTGCTAACGTACTCTTTTTCCTTACCAGTTCGTTATTGTTCCAGAACCCAGAGAAGTCTTGGAAAGTTCCTCCGTAAGCTTGCTGAGCCAGACTTTGTAGCTTATCTGTGCAGTTGAGGACTTTTATTGCCACCTTCTGTAAAACCTAAACATTCATTTAAAGAGCCCTTGAGAGTTAGTGTGACTTTGCCTTGGCTTATTTTGGGTTATCTCCCAGGATCTGGCAAAGCTGAAGTCCTTTTATCTGCTGCAAGGGCTTTTTTATCTTTTGCAAGCAGCAAATTAAGAAACTCTCCACAGTTTCATGGGTGTTACTCAGCCTGCTTGAGGTAGCTACAAGGTTGCAAGGTGATTGGTTTCACAGGGGTTTATGCTGATGCCAATATTTGAGACACAAATACGATTTATATTAGAGGCAAAATCTCAAATTGGAGGCAAAGAGGAAGGCTTAAGGTATTTTCTTTGACCCCATCACATGCTTTCCACTTACCAGTAGCTTGATGGAGAATGTTGGAACCGCTTCTTGTGCTGTCTTGCGTTCATGAGACTGGAAAATAAGAGGTAGAAAGCTCTTTCACCCCCCTCTCTGAGCTTCAGAAGGTATTAAGTGCAACAGAAACCAAGTCATGTTTTGCAGTTCCAGGAGAGGTGTTGAGAGAGAAATCTTAGAAAGTTCCATCGCCTGACGACAGCAGAAATGTGCTTACTTGCATTAAGACATTTCCTACAGTTTCTCTTCTCTTTCAGAGCCCTTTGTATCCTGGTTAATAGGCGTCTGCCTTTTCAAACTATTCAAGCTCTGGTCAGATAGCTTCCCTACGCAGTTTGCAGGAACATCTTTCTCTTGTTTTTGTTTGCTTTAAGATCATCTGCAACAAAGAGTGCTAGCAGAGAAGTCGACTTTCTGCGGTGCTCTACACTGTCGGCACAGTGGTAATCTGGGTTCTTACTGCGGGTTAATAGGTAAAGGAAAGGGAAAGTTTGTTCCTTGCTGTTCTCTCGTGAGAGAGCTAATGCTAATCTGTTCTTTTCCTAACGTGGTCTTGACAACCGTATTTTAAAAATTAAAAAAGAAAGAGCTTTATCTTGAAAATATCTGGAAACTGAAGGGGCTGGAAAGTAAAGAACAGGTTGACTCATTAAAACATTGAGTGCTAATCGCAGTACTTAGTGTAGTTTTACAGCTCTGAATAGTTACACTTGTATGCAAACCGTGGTTCTTGCTATTCCCTGTTCTACTCCATCTGTTCCACCGCTGCTCTCTTCTCCCAAAGAAAAATCATTTCTGTAAAGGGACTGGTGTGCTACTTTGTTCTGCTACTTTTGTGATACTGTGGTGATGGCCATGGGATGGCCATGAAGACCAGTTGGGTACTTGGCACACCTTCACAAAGCAGCCAGGACAAAATCCCTGTTGTCCATTCAGGGAGCTGTAAGTCTAGTCAGGCGCTTGCTTTCCTTTCTACATCTGCTGTTCTAGGTCTCAATAACCAACAGCAGCACTCGAGGAAACCGCTTACCTGTGCTGAATCCTGCTGAAGTTGAAGGACTATGAATGGGCTTGGGCACTTCACTTGCTTTTAGCCCATGAAAAGCCTTTGCGTGTTTTCAGGTGGTGTTCCTTTTGGGGCTGCTGCTTCCAAGTTCTTTGGTAGGCCCTGTACCAATGGAGCAGTGTTTCTTAGCCAACAAAGATTTCTTTTGTTGCATCTTTAGGGAATAAGCAGCAGATCAGAACTGAGGTTTCCAACTCCACTTCTCCGTGTGGCTTCAAGGGAGTATCATTATGTTAAATATCTGCGCAGGTGCTTCCTTTGAACCCGTAGCTCATCCTAAAAAAGACTCGAGAGGAAGCACCTGTGAACATGCAAGTTCTGCAGACTTGTAGATTAAAAGGGAGGACTAATCATGGATTTTGCAATAAGTGCCTTCAGCTCCTGACAGAGTACTGGGGCAAGCATGGCTTGCTCTTCTTTCCCAGAAGAGGCTTCTCCTTTATAGGATCAAGAATCTCCTTTATAGAGGTGTATATATTTTATGTATGTCTTTATTCTAGATTCCCTAGAATAAAGAGGCACTCTTCTGGCACTCTGGAAGCTTATGTATGTCTAATTCTGAGTAAGGAGATGAATTTTTTTTTTTCCATGCAGATGTTTATTTTGACAGCAAGGTATGGGCCTCAGCAAGAATAGGATGCTTCCCAGCGTGTATTCTGCACAGCTGGCTTAATGACACGATTTAACTTGACTCTGACATCAGCACTCACAAGCTATGCAGGTTTTTCTAGCCACCTGTGTTCTTTCCTGGAATAAATGCTGTCCTAACTACACGGCGTAAGTTGCTGGAGAACGTGAAAGACTTAAAAAACCTTTTTGTATGCTGAATGTATCAGCAGGCAGAGAGGAGTGCTGGTGGACGTGCTGCCTGCGAGTTAAAGAACATCTGCATTTGTAATTCAGGGAACAGAGCCGTAGCCTGGCTGCGGTTGGAAGGCGCTTCTGGAGGTCATCTAGTCCGTCCCCCTGCTCGGAGCCCGGCTGGCTGGAGCAGATTGCTCGGAGCCATGACCAGCTCAACCTGGAATTCAGCCTAATAACATGAAAAAAAGATTGCTGAGGCTAGTTAGCCTGATGGGATCCCTTGCTGAAAGCTGGGTAAATCCAAAAAATGTCAAGCGTTTTTTCTTTCAATTGTGGGATACATTTTTATTATTTTTTTCAGCTATTGTAGGTAATGTGTTTTCCCTGATTGACTTGATTTTTTTCAGTCAGAAGATGCATTCTTCTTGCACTACCTGTGTGTGGTAGTCTTGTAAAGCTGTGGTGTGTTCCCAGTTCTGCTACACGGATTCTCAATTATGTCTTCTTTTTTAAAAAAAAAAAAAAAAAAAAAAAAAAGACTTCGTAAATAAGATTTATTTGCAATTCATCTCACTTCTTAAAGGTGCAGTCTCTACTTTTTTTTTTTCCTTTAAAAAAAAAAGAGACAGATGCATGTATTTATTCTATGTTATTTGTGTTGGAACTAAACTGAAGCAAGTCCCTTCCAGCGCGTACAACTCGGGCTTCAGCTTGCGAGTTGGAAACTGAAAGTGAAACGACCTTATTTTCTGCTGCGGAAGAAGCAGTAGGAAAAATAACTAGAGCACACATACTGATAAGAGCATTTCTTCAGATATGATCATCTGACTGTTGATAACGTCTGAAAAGAAGCTTGGGATATATCTGGTCTGGCAGAATTCCTTTCCAGCAAAACAAGTATTTCTCCAACCAGTTGTGTCTGTCCTCTCGTCGTTACCTGCTTTGTTCCTTGCCAGCGCTTCCTCGCAGAGCAGCAGCCGTACGTAGAAACAGCAATCCTCATTTCTTCCGTGCAAAGGGTTAGCCTGGGAGCAGGGAGGCGTGCTGGAGAACAAGGCCACGCTGACAAATACCCCTCAGGTTCCTCGCCAGCTCTGGCAGCCGGCTGCAGCTCGGTGCTGGCCCACGCGGAGGAATGCAGGGCATGCCTTGGCGATGGTGTCAGCGGGGCAGCAGGAATGGTGTCCCCTCCTCGCTGCTGCCTGGGAGCTGTTCCAGCCCAGCCGAAAGGGGAGTCGGTAGCGGTGGCTTCTGGAAGGCAGGTTTATTGCTGTTTTGGGGAGAGGGAATGCTTTTCTGGGTTTGTTTCCATACCGTCATTAATGCCAGGAGCCAGCCCTGTTCTTTTCAATGCTGCTTCTTACATCTCATCCCTCCCAGTTAGGGGGAGGACGTGTGCCTACCAATATGCATAAAAGGAAGCTTCAACAGAGATCCTTCAGGATCGGGCAGGATATTCTGCTTCTGAATCACTCCAAGCTATTCTGTGATGTAAATGCCATCTGATCCATGTTACGCAGGTTCCACGGTTTCAGCCTCAGTATTTTAACCTGCCTCGTTTAAAATCAGTCGTGTCAGAAAACATTACTTTAAATGCTTTGAATACAGCATTTTTCTTGGATATTAAAAGTAAATTGAGGGAATAAAGAGATACTGGTGATAGAACCTATTTATTTATTTTAATTAGTAAGATAGTACTGGCTTGTTGGTATTTATTCTGCCATTCTTGAACAATCTGGTATACCATTTTGAAACTAGTATTTTTCCACTTCTGTTGTGAAAATTTATTTCTTAAGATTACAGTTTTGCAGGTTGATTTGTAGTGTGTGTAAATGTGCGTGTGTATATCTATCTATATATATAGTCCATGTGCTTCATTACTCAGCAACACATATCCCTTCAAAGTGTTCTCTGAAGTAATGGACAGTGCTGTAACCTACTGTTGACTTGGTAGGACTTCCCTTCTGAACTGTAGGTATAAATCAGAGTACCTATTTTACAGACATTTCCTTGATGCTGTATATTTCTTTCAGTAGACAACTAAGAACTGTTGAGAGTGTCCAATCCTTTGAAAAGGACGCCTTTTGGGATACTTGGGCTTCAGTATTTTATATTCTGTTGTGAGATGTTAAAGCAGAAGTGAACCAACCAGAGCCTAACATATTATTTTTCTTCCATATTCACTGATCTGTGCGAAAAAAGCATAAGGTCATTTGTAGATCTCTTTTCCTCTGTCTCGGTCTGTTTATAATTTTTGGCTCTTGTATGCTGAGCAAGACTAGATTGTTTGGCATAGCACCTACGAGGACATTTTGTCAAAATGTTAGCTTTTCTGATTTTCAGTGCTTTGGCAAGATCTAAACAGTAATTAATTCCATGTGAGCTTGGACATCTGATATCAACAAATAGCTTTTAGCTTTTTCATAACTAAAATGATGTGCAGGGTGACACTTGCAGTGGGAGGATCTTGCAAACTTTTTGAGGCTTAGAATTTTTGAAGAGAGTAAAGGAAGGAAATGGGAGTGTTTTACAAAAGTGAAACGAGTGCTTCTTGTCCATATTTGCATATCCTCTTTCTGTGTACTTCAGTGTCACTTCATGTTATGCTGTGTCAGAAATGCTGTCTGTATACCCCGTATACTGGGGTAGCATTGATTGCCCTTCTGCTGGTGGAAGGGTGGGATTAAGATCTGACTCTTCTTCGGTGGAGACTCCACGTTGAATAATGAGGAGGATCACAAGCTCTCTGGGGTAAAGTACAGTTGTGTGGTCAAGGAGGCTGCTCCAAGAGGAGTCCTGTTGCAGAGGCTGGAGTAAGTCCTCTACTTTAGGAAGAGGTTGCCAGGAGAGGATCCCATGTTGAAGAAATCTGAGTATTGCTTCTAAAAACTAATGCATTTTCATCTGTTGTGGAAATATTGTAAGATACAGGCTTTTTAGGAGTATTTGATGTGTGTTTTCCTCACTTGTGGCTAATTGCTTTGAGACTGTTTTACCTTTTCCATTCTAGCAGTGGTGGGGTAGAGGAGCTGCTGATGGAAGCTGAAACTAGCCACTAGTAGCTATGGTCTAACCACGTACAAAGTGCTAAGTAATGTGAAATACTCTGAAAAATCAGGTCCTTGATGTATTATGGCTACGACAGATTAGTAAAACTCCTGGCTTTTACTTTTTCTCTGAACTTAAGTTGCCATCTGCAACATGAAGGAAGAAGCAAAGCGTTCTCATCTTCCATCAGTGTTACGAAAATAATGTCTATGAAGGCAGGGGAGCCTAAACCTTCTTAGTTCAAGCTTTAATTTATGGCTAGAAGGTTCTGGGGTGTTGTCCAAGATAAGTTGCCCTTCTGTTAAGGGTTTTGTTTGTTTACTTTAAAAAAAAAAAAAAAATGAAGTTGGTTCCTTCTCCCTAAGGGGGAAGTGAAGGCAAGCTGAAATAGGGAATATTCACGGTATGAGTGGCAAAAGGTTTAACTTTCTCTGGAAGCAAATGAAGCCCCTTCCTATGTGTTTCTGGTCAGTGGTTCTTCAGAACTTCATCAGGTTGTCAAAAACTTTAGTACAGCAAAAGAAGCAAGTTTCCTCAAGTGCTGCGGCACTTTGCCTGTGATTGCCAGGAGTAAGAGTGATTGCAGGGGCTTGAGGTCCACTTCTTGTATTGAGTGTAACTTAGCACTGCAGCAGGAGCTCTCAGGGCTCAAGTAGTGGCTCAGTTTAAAAGGAGTGATTAGCAAGTGAAAATATTGCTCAAGTCCGAGGAAGTATAAATAAAATCAGAGTTGTAAAACTGTTTTGCTTTTTTAACGTTTTTACTTTCAGAAGCAAATCAGTGCCAGTGTGTTGGTTTCATTCTGACAGATAGGTAATGGAGTTTTAGTTGGTATGAGGCAAGACACGTCCAGCACTACTGTGCTATGAGTTTCAGTTCTTTTTTTGGTCGGTGTTTATTGTAAGTGTAGTCGTAAGAAAACATTACAGCTGTCCAAACCGAAGGAGTCATCTCTAGTGATGAGATGTGGTATGACAGAGGAGCAATCTCTTGCTCATATACAGCCATTACTGGAGGATGATCTATCCAGAGTACCTTTAAAATTCAAGTCAATCTATGCAACAAATCTCACAGGCATGCTGCTGTGTGCTATTTCAAATCAGTGAATAAGATTTTGTAAATTAAACTTGGGGCCAAAGCTTTCTCTTTTTTCTCAATGTGCTGCTTATAACCCTGGTGTGTGAATTATAGGTATCTACAGTTGGTCAAGAACAGGAAGGCTTGTATTTGCCAAGGTTTCTTTTACCTTTTTTTTCCTGTTCAGGTAATGAACTTGACCTGCTCTTTGCAAGGTAGGAGGGGAGTTGAAAATGTCTGAGTGACCAGGTAACGAAGGGACCTATGGGACCTTTGGATATCCCTTCCAACCCTGGCTATTTTGTAAGTCTGGAAGTTTTTGTATTCTTTGGTAAGCTTATTCTTTGGTGAGTTTAGTTAAATAAGTTCCTTACTCACTAAAATTCAATCAGAAAACAAGGATACAGTTGCACCCTTTAAAAGAGTGTATTTGTTCGAAAGAGGCTGACAAGTCTAGGTCCTACTGTGAGCGCTGAAAATAAATGGGAGAGTATTGTGAGGTGTCTGAAACGTGAAACCAAGCACAGGTAAAACCAGGCTCTTAAAATGAGGCGTCCTGGGTCAGAATCTAGGCAAGTACAACAAGATCCCTGCAAAGATCCTAGTTTTCCTTTCCGAATAGGACAGAGTTGTATATCCTCTCATTTTTTGCTCTTCCTAGTAGAAATTCCTAGACTATTAGGTACGTTCTTTATTTTGGTAGGAAGTAGTGGTGAGTTCCAGCTGAAGTACTGGAAAATCTTTCTTGCTGCCTGAATGTCAGCTGTTTTTTAGGGACTTCATCCTATCCCTGTGTAGTGCAGTCTGGCATGCTATGAGTAGGTACTCTGGAGTGTATTAAAAGCTGTTCCGGAGGTTGAGTCGTCGCTGCGCCTTCCTATTTCACTCTGCAAGGGCACCTCTCGAAAATGAGGCTCAAATATTTTTTTCAAAAACAAAAGGATTTCTTGTACAAATCTTCCTATAATGTATTTGGATCTCAAGTATCTCCGCATTTCAAAATAAATGTAGAAATACACTCCTGTAATCCATTCCGTGTATTAGCTAGGACCTTGAGAGTCTCCAAAGCACACACATCCCAGTCTTCTCATGGCATTTCGAAAAGGCGTGCTTGTGTCTATGCTGTTTTTTTTTTATTTTTCTTTGATTTTAATGTATCATCTAAAACCTTGGAGGGGGAATTGCTGCGGAGGGAAGGCAGTTTTTATGAGGTTGCACAATAGCTGTAGCAAAGCAGTAAAACTGATCTCGGCGTTGCGTGTTGTAGCCACAGTCACCTCAAGCACCGTGCGAGGCTTAAAGGAAAATTCTACGAACGAAGAATTCCCCGTTTCGGGACCAGCAGTGTTTTTGTCATATTTTATCGTCAAATGCCGCAGAATCTGCCAAACTTGTGACTCATGTCCACGCTGGGTACTGCATTTGCACTTAATTCCACAACAGACTGTTGCCTTAGGCAGCGTTAGATTGAGAGTACACGCTAGATCTCACCATCGCTCTCACCCTGGAATCTGCATGGGCTGAGCTGTCGTGGTCATATGTGAAAGAGCTTGTGGATATTTGTAAAACCAAAACATTCTTGTCGTCTTTCATCTTTAAAAGTCACCGCGTGTAGCATTCAGACACTGTTCTTTCCAACATACCAGACCTGTGGGCTACCTAAAGGTGGCAGGGCTTGCTTGCTGGTGACTGCGAGCATGGTGAGATGGCACGGAGTGAGGGGCAAAAAGTGCCTGGTAAATTGTTCTGCTCGTCGTAGCTGGTATTTTAGTGCACGCTACGTACAGGAAGCGAGTGATGGTAAAATGTGGTCTTAAATAGTGTAAGATGCAAATAGCTTCTTACTTCACCTCC